GGGAACGATGAGGAATCTGCGGTCCTTAGCGCTCTCTGAGCTTGGTGGTTTTCTTGCCGATGCTTCATTACCCAAATAGGTGACATCATCAGTGTTTTGAAGTGAGTGGGGTTTTTTTTGGGGGGGGGGTCTAAGGCAGGACTAGAACTCGCAACCTTAGGAAGCACCAAAGTCTCCACAGTCCATTCCTGATCTACAAATACAAATCCTTCCATTGGTGGTTTTTTACTATTGACTGAAAAAACAACAACACCCCGTCACTTCTTCGCCCAGTCAAATTTTTCCAAGAGCGGGTCCAGCCTCGTTCTACGGTGGCTGTGGATGATGGGAGCCGCGGATTATGGAGCATCTCTTTGAGGACCCTCGTTTCGAGACCCCTGCCCCCTTTTTCTCTCCCAGGGAAAGCCCCTCCTCAAATTGCAGCCGCCTCCAAGGAGGAGGTAGGCATGCCCTCGCCACTCCAATTGTGCCATAGTGCCAACTACACACCGTGCCACGTGGTGTGCGTTCCCCACTCCTGAGCAATCGGTGGGCGGGAGAGGAAGCGAGGGTTAACCGCGCGATGCCGCCGGCAGGACGGTGCCCTCGGTGTCGCGAGCTCGCCCACGACCCTGCGGGCATCACGCGGTGAACCCTCACTTCCTCTCCTGCCCACCGATTGCTCAGGAGTGGGGAAAGAAATAACCAAGGCTATCGAATCAGAAGCTGAGATGGTTCCTTTCCAAGGGTGGCATCATGGCACCCCTTGGTGGGGTTTTGCCCTGGGAACCGAGTTTGAACCCAAGGGGGGTGGGGTGGATTTTTTTTGTAGCACCTGGGAACAATAGAAAAGGGAATGGCCAAGCAAGGTGGAAAATCCCCACGCTTTATTTTCAAGCAGGTGCAAGAATGCAAAAAAACCTCCAACCTTCTTGGCTTGCGACCAGGCAGAGCACAGGGCAAAATCCATGCCAGCTCCCAAGGACTCCTTGAATGCCCATGAGAAGGTTTTGGCCCCTCCCATGGGAGGAAGTTTGTGGGCGTGGCTTAGGCCAGGGGAGGGACAGGTAGGTACCCACCTGCAGGTGTTAGAGAGAGGTTAAAATCCCCTCTGGGGCAGAGGTGTCAAACTCCGGGGCCCACGAGCCTGTTGGGGTGCTTAAATCTATTTCCAGGGGGCCATTTATTTATTTTTAAACAATTATCCTTTATTTATTAAATCTTATTTCCACGGGCCATTTATTACTTAAATAAATTTTATCCTTTATCAATGAAATCTATTTCCAGGGGCCATTTATTTATTAGATAAATTTTATCCTTTATCTATTAAATCTATTTTCACAGGCCATTTATTTATTAGACAAATTTTATCCTTTATCTATTAAATCTATTTCCAGGGGCCATTTATTTATTAGATAAA